CTGAAAACTCTGGGGCAACTTGGGAATGGGGATAGACTGAGTCCCCACCCTGCCAAAGACCTGACAGCCACATTCACACCTCACAACTGCCACCAGGCCAACTGCCCAACTTTGCTGTTTCATGACTAATCTCTGCGGAGACACCAAACCAACAAAAAATTCCAGGTACACTGGTTTTCTGGCTGTAAACTATGGGGTCTTCTCGGGGTGTGAGTGGACAGCCTCCACTCGCCCTCCTGAACTTCTGGAAGCCACCCCATATCCCACAGCTATGCCCATGTAAACTCATTAGACCAGCTTTACAGATTCATGGCTAATCTTGGAAGAGATGCAAGCCAAGCCACTAACATTCACATGTACACTAGTCTTCCAGCTGCATGACACCTCCAAATTCTACGGTACTGACATCCCTGTAGAAACACACCAAGTTAGATGAGAAAGTAACATAGAAACCCACTTAGCTTAATAAACAGCAACAGTAACGCAGAAGGCTCAACTAGCAACAAACTGCTTAGTAAACCTTCAGACAAGACCTTACTGAACCCATGGCAAGATACAACAATTTTCACAAATTTTCTTTTACTAAAGTATTTTTGATAATTCTACTAGCCAATTTGTTGCAACAACAATATAAAATAAACTATTTTATGTCTACTAAGGGGGGGAAAACTTGAAGGGTGGTTGGGACAATGAGGACAATGGTGGAGGGAAGGTCACACAGGAGGTGAGATTGGTGTTGGAACACTGAATGCCCAAAACAACTGTATTATGAACAACTTTGTAAACCATGGTGTTTGCATAAAGTAAAAATAAATAAATAAATAAATAACCGTAAAATATAGTGATAAAAACAAATAAAGCAACCCCTCCTTTCACTGTTTGACTTCAGACTCAAGTTTTTTCACTACAAAAAAACCTATACCATATATTGTTCACTGGATTAAATCATATATGTAGCACTGTAGCACTGTCCTCACGTTGTTCATCGATTTTCTCGAGCATCAGTGGGCACCAGTAGCATCTTCATTGTGAGACTTGTTATAACTGTTTTTGGCATATCAAATGCGTCATGAGGAGGTTGCCAGGCTCTGCTGTGCGAGTGGGATACTCTCAGTAGCTTGCTGGCCTCTCCTAGAGGGACGGAGGGATCGAACCCAGGTCAACCATGTGCAAGGTAAACACCCTATCTGCTGTGCTATCGCTCCAGCCCAAATCATATATGACTCTCTAAAATTTTTAAAAGCTTATTTGCCATTTGGCACTTTACTTGAATTTTTAAGTACTTATTTCAACATTCTGTAAGCCTATTTGCCTATAGGTGATAATGTATATGGTAAGAGCCCTTTGACTGCACTTATTTTACTATTAAATAAGTTCCTGTACCATTAAATAATGCCATGTGTGATAATGATATCCAAGTCATTTCACAAACCTACAAGTGTTGGGTTATTGCAGGACCACAACTGACACAAGAGTAAGTGCTTTGCTATGAAAACCCGCTGTCCTGTCAATAAAGGGAAGGTCTAATGTAATCTTCCATAGGTAGTAGAGCCACATTTGGAATTCTGATTGCTTCCTAATCTTGGTAAACTTGACACTTAATATTGGTGACTGTGAAACAAGCTTAAATGAAGGCAGCCAGTGCTATCAATATCCATCCTTGCTATCGATATTTTTAGTATATGAGTCTTTTGAGCAATCACTGGAATGAGTTGGGACAGACTGATTGACCCTACTAAGTATTTTAACTTCTTATGATTACAGACAATTTTTTCTATAATAAATAGATATTACCATGGGAAATGTATGTCTTCTTGGTTTACCCCAGTCTGAGAGGTTTATTTCTACACATCTTCCTCAGATCCTTTTGTTAGCAATTTCCAATTTCACTTCTTCTAAGTTCCTAACCATCAATCCAAATTATTGGCCACTGTCCATGAATTAATATTGATGTATTTATGGTCATCTCTTTTTCCAGTCAGAAGAGACAAATAAATTTATGGCTCGAAATTCTACCTGCTGGAAGGATTCCCCTGGCCTCCCACCAGGGCTACTTGTGAGTGGGACTGTAATGCTCTATAAGTTTACCTGGTTGGTGCCAGCATGTACTGTGGAGCTATCTGTAAACAAGTTTTCCAAATTTTATTCTTCAGTAAACTGACCTTGGAGAAATTTCTGTGAGAACATAGATTTGTGCTGACGGAGATGCTAGTGAAGCATAGTAAGATGTGGGCATTAAAGACATTTGCTCATATAACAAATCTGTGTCTTCAAGAATTTTTTTTTGAGCCTTGTATTGGTGCTGCTGCATAACCCTCCCTTGTGCCTTGGTTGGTTCACAATTGATGTGAATGGTTTCAATCAGATTATTACACCGTATTCATGGTCAGGGATTCTTTAGAGGCTTAAGAGCAGTCAGAGTCATTTCTCAAAGGAATAAAATTTATCTTGAGAAGTGATATGATTTTCCTCCAAATGAACATGGCTTTTATCTAAAGTTCTCCTCCTGGGATGTCAGAAACTTTTTCCAATTAATTAATTAATTAATTTTTTGCTTTTGGGGTCACGCCCAGCAATGTACAGAGATTACTCCTGGCTCATGCACTCAGGAATTACTCCTGGCAGTGCTTGTGGATCATATGGGATGCTGGGAATCAAACCTGAGGCGGCCACATGCAAGGCAAATGCCCTACCCGCTATACTATCGCTCCAGTCCCCAATTTATTTCTTTTAATTAAAGAACAGTGATCAGCAAAGTTATTGATAGTTGCATTTTAGGCATATAATTTTTCAACATCAATCACCCCAGGAATGTCAACTTTCCTTTATCCACAGTGTTTCTATACTCTATCTCCCCCCAACTCCACCTCTACCATTGTCACTTTGATCGGCATATTCTGCCTATATTTTCCTCAATGTGCTTTATAGTTTCCAGATGGATCTCAAAGTTTTTGATACATTTTGAATTTTCTTTTGTGTAAGGTGTGAGAGATGGATCCAGCTTTAATTTCTTTCTTGTAGTTATTCAGTTTTCCCAGTACCATTTGTTGAAGAGGCTATCTTTACTCCATTTCATGTCTTCAACTCCCTTACCAAAAATTAACTGTTTATATATATGGGGTTTTGTCCTTGGATATTCAGTTTTGATCAGGAAGCCTATCTTTATTTTAGTACCATGCAGTTTTGATCACGATAGCTTTACAATACAATTTCTTATTTTTCAGTTATGACTTTGATTATTCATCATCTCTTCTATAACTCCATACAAACTTTGTTACTGACTTTTCTGCATCCTTTAAGAATGTCATAAAATCTCTGCATTTTATTTTGGTATAAGCATTATACTCTCCTGAGTTATATTTTGGGGCATTCTGGGATTGAAGCCGAATTGAAAGTGGAGGTAAGGAGGGGTGGTGATTGAGCGTCTTAAAGAGACTCAGTATTACTTGAAAGATTGTTGACTCAGGTGGGACTGTTGGAGCTTTTAACTAAGGGGAAATAAATCACTTTGGATAGGGAAGTATGGGCTCCATCTGTTGTCAAGGAAAGCTAATGGGGATTCAGAGGTCAATGTAGGATTTGTCCAAATCTACAGTATTTCCCTTTCTGATAGTCAGCGTTCGTCCTCATTCCCAAGCTCCTGACATGGGGATATCATGTAATATAATTGCAAGCCATGGAATTGGATTTTGTTTTGTTAGGGAGTCACACCTGGCAGTGCTCAGTGATAACTCCTGGCTCTGCACTCAGGGATCACTCCTTGCTGGCTTGAGGGACCAACTGGGGAGCCAAGGATTAAATCTGGGCCAGCCAAGTGCAAGGCAAGTACCCTATCTGCTTGTGCTACTGCTCTGGCTCCTAGAACCAGACTCTTTTCTATATTAAACTTCTATCAGTTTTTAGAAATAAAAGATTTTCTGATTGTTTGACTTTGCCTTGAATGATGATTTTAAAGCCTCCATCTATAATTTTCCCCCAATAACTTTCCTGATTCAGTCAACACTAAAGTGAGTAAAGTATCTTGCAAGATTTTTTCCCATGAGAAAATTTTATTACAGTAGTAATACAATACTCCAAAATTCGGTTTTCATTAAACATTTTAGTTCAGACAATAACTACTGATAAGATTAAACATGTTTTGTTAATTGCATGCCATGAATTGTTGGACCCCTCATTTTCCATTAAGCAACAATATCATACATAATTCAAACTCCATCAGATTAGGTATCTAATTCCAGACTAGACCCAACAACTGATGTTAAATGTGATAGCAATGAGCATTCACAGAGAAGATTAAGAAATATATGATTAATTCTATATATTTAAATATAGAGAAATCTAACGTAAGAAATAAATTATAAAATTGTTGAGGTGTAAGCATTCCCTGACTCCCCCACAAAAAAAAGCAGATAGGAAACATTACCTTAAGTCTGTGGTCATATCATCCTGAATGTGCCCAATCTTGTCTGATCTCAGAAGCTAAGCAGGGTCGGGCCTGGTTAGTACTTGGATGGGAGAAAACATTAACTTTTTTTCTAGAAGCCTCTGTTCTCTCTATAGAATGACACTAACTCTACATTTGTGTGGTGAACCTATATTTCAGTGACACCTATTATAGGAGACTGAAAGCATGAGCTAATGGTTGGCTTCTGCCTCTGTAGTGCTATCCCATTACCAATAGAGATGAAATTTTTTAAAATCTGTATTCCCTATTTCATATAGTGTCTTAAGTATTGTTCTCACATTGTCATAGTCTGAAGTAGGATCCTTCTGTCATGGAGACTGGTAGGCAAAGTTCCCAGGTGTTGTGGGGAAACTTTAAAAGAACTGATGTATCACACATCTTGATTTTGTGGAAAGGGTGAACAGAGAGTTATTAATTTCAGAAACTGGCATGTGGTAACTGATAATTTGAAGTAGATTCTCTAGAACCATGTATATCACAAGCACTATGGGTCTTCGTTCTGGCAGCTGTACATCACAGTTTGGAGACCGTGAATCTAGGCATGACTACTTCCAGGAAATACACACAGCCCTGAGAGCTTCTTCAGGGCACCTTTGACCTCCTTGTTTCTCAGACTGTAGATAATGGGGTTTAACATGGGGGTCATAACACAGAACAATACAGATACCAAGATGTCCACGTCCAGGGAGTAGCCTTCGCTGGGTTTGTCATAGTTGAAGTTGGCTGTCCCATAAAACACCACCACCACGGTGAGGTGGGAGGCACAGGTCGAGAAGGCCTTGCTCCTGCCCTGAGCAGAAGGAATCCTGAGGATGGCAGCAATGATGAGTGTGTAGGATGCTGCAGTAAACAGGCAGGGACTCAGGCCAATGGTGGCACTGGCCACATGGAGCACAGATTCATTGAGAGAGGTGTCTGAGCAGGAGAGCTTCAGGATCAGTGGGATGTCACAGAGAAAGTGGCTGATCTGATTGGGCCCACACAACGTGAGTGTGGCTGCCAATGCTGTGTGTGTCACAGAATTCACCAAGCCACACAGCCAGGACCCAATCACCAAACAGACACACACCTTCACACTCATGAGGATTGGATACCGAAGAGGGTGACAAATGGCGACATAGCGGTCATAAGCCATAGCTGCCAATAAGACACATTCGGCGCCAGCACAGGTTACAAGGAAGAAGATCTGGGAGAGGCAGCCACCATAGGAGATAGTCTTCTTCTCCCGGAAGAAATTCACCAGCATGACAGGAATGGTGGTAGATGTATAACAGATATCCAAGAAACTCAAGTTGCTAAGGAAATAGTACATCGGAGTGTGGAGAACAGGACTGATTTTCGTGGCTGTTATTATGAGCATGTTACCCAGGAGAGTTATCAAGTAAATGACCAGAAAAATCAGGAAGAACAGGCCCCGTAGGTTGGAATGGTTGGAAAATCCCAAGAAGATGAGTTCAGTGACAAATGTTTGGTTACTCATTTTAGCTGGTGTCATAGCTACAAAACAATGAGATGGAAAAAGCCAAGATTATAATATAGAGAGAGCACTCCGAATGCATTTGTAAACTTACAGGGACAGGTCAAATAACGCTGGATATAAAGCTGCCTGGATTTTGCAAAAAAAAAAAAAAGTCACACAGGAATGCTTCAGGGAGAAAAATAAGTTTTCATTCAACAGAACTAGCAGCACAGGGCTAGGGACTCCCACAGATCTTCATGAGACTGCTGGTGCATAAGGAAAGATGGAAATTCATCCAAATCCACAAGAAACACTGGAACCTGTTTTATTTATCATTTATCACTAGCTCCTCTAAATCTACATCTTAACATTGTGTTTTTCTGCATAGCTTCTTTTTATAACTATTTTTTGTAATATATTTTCATTGTGAAAAATATTTTATTGTAGAAAGATAAAGCAATCTATAGATTTAATGCTTTCTTTTGGTATATTCATTATAGTCTTTTTGTATATAGATATTGATCTCTGTTGGTTTAAATATTAGAAGGATGAATTTCCAAGAATGCATTTTATTCGATTTGCTCGAGCGGGCCCAGTAACGTCTCCATTGGAGACTTTGTTGTTACTGTGTCTGGCATTTTATTCTAGCACACAATACAAATTTTATCTCTTTCCTCTGGAGCAATAGCACAGCGGTAGTGCGTTTGCCTTGCGCGCAGCCAGCCCAGCCGAGCCGGGTTCAATTCCTCCGCCCCTCTCAGAGAGCCCGGCAAGCTACCGAGCGTATCTCGCCTGCGCGGCAGAGCCTGGCAAGCTACCCATGACATATTCAATATGCCAAACACAGTAACAACAAGTCTCAAAATGGAGACGTTACTGGGCCCACTCGAGCAAATTGATGAACAACCGGAGGACATCTGGTTAGACACTTGTATTACTACCACTCCCTTTTTATAAATGGGGAGTGAAATTAATCATACACAGATATCCAAATATTTCTAATTATTTCTTCAGAATAAAATTTTTAATTCATCATTGTGAACGATAGTTTCATGCATACATTATTCCAACACGATACCCACCACAGAGTACCTGCTTCCCTCCACCAAAGCCCTAAGGGTTCCCCTATCCCCATGTTCAGTTCTGTTGAACAGAACTACTTTTAATTAAATTAATCTAATATTTCTTACTAGCAATTTTTCTATTTGTATTTATTTACCTACAAGAAACTTTAACCAAAAGGAGGTAGATGACATATGAAAATGATAAGTCACTATTCAAAGACATTGAGGACACAAGGAAATGAAAACATATTACTTACTGGAAGAATCGACATTGACAAAATTAACATCCTACCCATATAGATTCAGTGCAGTAACCACAAAAATTCAAATGGCATTTTTAAGGACATAGACCAAATTCTGTTAATTGTCAATGCCATTTTAGGGGGAAAAGACAGGAGGTTTTTCTTTCCCCAACTTTAAATTATTCTATAAAGCTATATAGTAATCAAGATTGTGTAGTAGTGGAATAAAGGTGAACTCTCAGGAAATAGAATAAAACAGAGTTATGAGAAAGACCCTCAAGTATACAGACAGCTAATCTTTGACAAAGATATATGTTTATAAAATGAAGCAAAAAAAGCCTCTTCAACACAGTGTTGGGAAACTGACTAGCAACATGTGAAAAAAATTAACTTGGATTCCTATCTCAAATCAGACTAAGGTAAAGGTAAAGGTAAAGGCCCTCCCGTTGATCGTCGATTTGCTCGAGCGGGCCCAGTAATGTCTCCATTGGAGACTTTGTTGTTACTGTGTCTGGCATATCGAATACTCTCGGTAGCTTGCCGGGCTCTCCAAGAGGGGCGGAGGAATCGAACTCGGGTCGGCCATGTTGGCCGCGTGTAAGGCGAACGCCCTACCGCTGTGCTATCGCTCCAGCCCCCAGACTAAAAAAAGTTAAATCAAAGTGAATCAAAGACTCAATTTTTTTGGGTGTGGGGATATTGGCACATCACACTTGGCAAAGTTCAGAGGTTACCTCTGGCTCTGCACTTGGAAATTACTCCTGACAGTGATTGGGGGACCATATGCGATACAAGGTATCAAACCCAGGTCAGCCACATGCAAGACAAAATGCCCTACCCATTGTACTATTGCTTAGGCCCCAAGGACCTCAGTATTAAACCCAAATCTATAACTTATATCAGAGAAAACGGAAACCTTCATGACGTTGATGCTAAAGCATTTTCAATGACTCAATGCCAAATCTATATTTTTGTGGGGGGGGGGGGGGTCACACCCAGTGATGCACAGAGGTTACTCTTGGCTATGCACTCAGGAATTACTCCTCGAGGCACTCACAGGATCATATGGGATGCTGGGAATCAAACCCAAGTCAGCGGCATGCAAGGCAAATGCCCTCCACGCTGTACTAAGGCTCCAGCCCCGACAATGCCTAATCTAGACAACAAAAAAGCTATCCCCTCCCACCAGTGAGACTGGCACACATCAAAAATAGTAGAGGGCTGGAGTGATAGCACAGCGGGTAGGGCGTTTGCCTTGTACGCAGCCAACATGGCCAACACAGGTTCGATTCCCAGCACCCCATATGGTCCCCTGAGCACCGCCAGGAGCAATTCCTGAGTGCATGAGCCAGGAGTAACCCCTGAGCGTCGCCGGGTGTGACCCAAAAAGAAAAAAAAAAAAAGAAATAACCAGTGCTGGCAAGGGGTAGGGGAAAAGTAATACTCATACTTTTGGTCAGAATATTAATATTTTCTAGTTCAATCTCTATGGAAAACTGTATGGAAACCTAAAAAATTAATAATCCAGCCTCCATATGAGCCAGCAACTCAACTTACTGGCATCTACTCCGAGTGCCCATTATCACTATTCTGAAAAGTTATTTACACTCCTGTGGTCATTGCAGCATTATCATTAATAGTCAAGACCTTAGAAACAACCCAAGTGCCCAAGAACAGATGAACAGATAATGATATTGTGGCATATAGACACAATGGATTACTACTCCGCTATGAGAAAAGATGAAATAATGAAGTTTGCTGCAGCATGGACGAAACTATAGGACATCATGCTGAGTGAGATCAGTCAGAAGGAAAGGGACAAATACAGACTGACCTCTCAAATGTAGAAAATAAAGAAACACAGTAAGAGAATAACAAATGAACTATGCTCATAGACCAGTAGAACTGAACTACAGAACAGAGTTGACCAAGGGCCTGGAGGTCTGGAGGGAGTCTAAAGTTCCCTCCTTCTCCTCACATACCTCCTTTGTAAACTTATTATTTTCTTCTTAATTTGCTTATTATAGTTTGGATCATGTGTTTATACTACAGACTGAAGATAAATGAAAATATCCAATATATGTCATTAACCCTCTGACTTAACCATGATATCCTCCAGTTCTATGTAGTTTGCTACAGGTTGAAGCAAACTACATGATTTTATATTTTCTTATGACTGCATAGTATTCCATTGTGTGTATATATATATATATGTAAATGTATACTACAACTTCTTTATACTCCTCTATTTTTGGATATTTGGGTTGTTTCCATGCCCTGGCTATTGTACTAAGTACCATAATGAACATAAGCGTGCATATGTATTTCTTAATAAATGTTTTTGTGTTTTGGGGGGTAGAATCATTGAGTCACATGGCAGGACTATTCTTGTATTTTTGAGAAATCTCATTATTTTTTTCTACAGAGACTGAACTAGACAGAATTCCCACAAACAGTGAATGAGGGATTCTTTTTAACCACATACCTACCAACTCTGTTTATTTTCTGAGGTGTTATATATATATATATATAATTCTTGCTGGTATGAGATGATATCTCATAATTTTTATTTGAATTTCTCTGATAATATGTAAAGACAAACACTCATATACTTATTGGCCCCTATGTCCTTTTTGATGTTGAACTAACCTTATATTTCTTGTTAAACCACTTTAAATAGATTATGATAAATTATCTTTTAATAAATCATGGGATTTGATTTGCTAATAATTTCACATCTTTCTTTATTCTTTTTTTTAATGTAGGAGTACTACGATTTATTCAGCTACTGATTAGGTTGACTGAACTGGGCATGAACTCCACCTTACTTTTTTTTTTTCATTTTTTATAATTTTGTTGAATCACCATAAGAGCAGTTACAAAGCTTTCAGGTTAAAGTCTCGGTCTTACAATGAAACACCATACCTTTACCAGTGCCCATTCTCCACCACCAAAAACCCCAGTATACCCCCACCCTACACTCTCCCCCTACCTGTGAGGCAGATGATTTTCACATTACTCTCTCTCTACTTTGATTACATTCAATATTTTGACTCCAGACCCACCATTATTATTTGGGATTTTACCCCAACACTCAGATCTGACAAAAAGGTAACAGTAGACAATTTGTTTTCTATTGCTGATTATGAATAACATATGATGTTGCGCGGCTACAATACTGGCTGCGCGATTTTGAAATTCTGAAATTTTAACAATTAAATCTGGAGGGATTTCTGCCAGAACCTGTTGAGTTCTGAGATTTGTTCCTGAGTCTCTTAGATCATGGCCGTTAACCAGCTTGATCAGGAGACAGAGAGGCCATTTGTGGGCGGTGACTTGGGGTCTCGTTGAGACAGGGAAGAAAGGGCCGGCTCCACCCCCATCCCATGAGGTCCTGTGTGTCTCGTCACTGTGGGCCTAAACCTGACTGTCCAATGGCCTCTGGAAGATGGCGGCCACCAAGCCACCCAGGGGAAGCAAGCGGAGTGACGGCACCCTTTCCTCCCTGGAGTGGCCTGGCGACAGTAACCTACTGCGGGGTCTGATGCATTTCTGCCAAAAGCTCCTGGATTTCGAGATTTGTTTCTGAGTCTCTGCGGTTGTAGCCATTAGGCAGCTTGATCAGGAGCCAGAGAGGCCGTTCGTGGGTGGCGACTCAGGGTCTCGTTGGGATGGGGAGGGAAGGGCCGGCTCCACCACCATCCTGTGAGGCCCAACAAGTTTCGTCACT